CAAAATTTCTAATTAGTATTACTGAAAAAGGGTTAATAAACACATTCTCAAACCTGCTGATAAAGCAGCTCAAAATAAGATTTCAAGATCACTAGAAAAAAAATTCAAGCACTTAATAATACTAGTATGCATATTTATTTCACATGACTTTTTCAAATTTTCGCATGACTTTTTCAAGGACTTGGTCAAAATTCAAGCACTTTTTATGGTCTGTACGAACCCTTACCGTTTCACGAAAGGGCCTGTATTTCCTGAGAAGGGGCCTCAAAGGTCAATTCTCGTTACTTTACACAGATATTTAATAATTGCAGTTGTATAATAGTGTCACAATTGTTTGAAGTAAAATTTTGTGTAACTGAAGGAAAATATTGTGTAAATAAAGTTTCATTCATGGAGGAACCAACTGTTAAAATTTATTCCATACTGATGGCTTTGAAAAGGAATTCCAAATTAGTTTCAATAAATAATGGAAGAAAGGAAATTGTTGTAATAAAGAAATCAAGGAAACAGATTAAATTGTAGTAAATATTTACTTATAAAAGGTCCCAAATAAAGGGAAACCCGATCCTTCAACTGGCGTCGGAATATCATAAATATAATGGATTCTGTTGAAAATTACGCCAGACGATGGGCCAGATACGAAAAAGACGTTGACACCCTGTCAGAATGGATTAAATGTATCAGATCCATGTTAAAGTCGCGAATTAAAAGATTGAGAGGCAATATGAAAACCATCTATCCTTCTGTGTTCAATAATCCAGAAGTGAAAAAAGAATTAGATAGATTACATGATCAGTACGTACTGGTCCCTGCCGACAAAGCAGGTAACAACATTGTCTTCGTTTGTAAGGCTTATTATATAAATTGTATTTTAGAAGAACTTGGATTTAATTCTACAAATGGTCATCCTACTTAAACTCATACACGTACTTCCCTTTCTAAGGAAGAAATTCTTCAAAATCATAAGTCAGTTTTAGATATTTTTAATATTCCACAGAGCCAAAATAAATTTGAACAACCCTATATATATACATTGGATTCCGAAACTTACAAACAAAGATTAATAGCGGGTTCCAGTAAATGTTCAACCAAGCCTCTTTCGTCAATGTCTATGTGGTTTTTAGAGACCAGATATTCCAATAATCTATCAGAATTCCCATTGGTACCAATTGCGCTCCGTTATTAGCAGACCTCTTTTTATATCATATGAAGCAGATTTTGTTTAAAATCTTCTGCGTGAAAAGAAGAAAACACTTTCTGTGGACTTCATCTCAACATTTAGATATATTGACGATGTATTGGCAATTAACATTGGTAATTTCCATTCCTATGTCGATGCGGGAACGACTTTACTTTACCGGTCCCCAGAAAAACGCTCTAAAATGTAGTGCCGAAGGCGACTTCACTATATACTGTATAGGGGATTAATTTCACGGGTTGTAATTTTCACGTTTTTCTCTCATCTGACACAATCGCGGTTTCTTGAATTCGCGGAACTTGGTATGTAATAAAAGTTACTTCCCTTGTCTGCATTTACGTTTATAATCCATACCATAGCTACATGTAAACGACATTAATCAGCGTTAAGTCTTTATTTCACGAACAACAGGGTAAGTTATTATAAAATACTTAGATTTCATGAATAATTAATTAACACAAGTGCAGTTATTAATAGTCCCTAAACGTTAAATGACTTTCCTATATGCTATTACGATGAGTGCATGTACACCCGAGATCTTCCATACAACGCGGCGAAAAACCACTGGACGGAAATAAAACTTTTATGTAGTTAATTCTACGAAATAATATCCTTCCACACTTCCTTCGTCAATAAGTTCGATATTTGAATGATTTTTTAAAACTAAAATGTCGATAAAAACTACATGAACTAATATGGATGAGAATGCAAGTAACAAATACACGGGGTAACATTAGTTACGCACGGGTAATCAAAACCCATGGCCCACGTGTTTTGATTGATGAAACATGCAGCGTTGGCTATTAAAACAACTTTTGAACAAACACAAATTATTATCTGCCGATTTGAATTAAAGTAAAGCGTGATAATTAAAATTAATTGAATGACAGTACTACTCGCAATTACTGAAATGACCATGGACTGCACGCACACCTATATAAATCTATCGTGGTCTATTCTCAAACCAAATAAAACATGTAGATTATTGAAAATTTATTCACTGTTTCTTGAATTCACGGATTTGTTAACACCGTGAATATAGCGAATATTAACACCGCGAGTTATTTTCCCCCTATACAGTATGAGATCGCGTGAGCGATCGAAAAAAAATTTAAATACGAGGTTTTTTGGCCTTTTGACCCCAAAATCGAATTCTACGGTTAAAAGTTCAGTTTAAATCTTCGTTTTTAAACGTAGTTTTTAACCTCGTTCTCTGAAAAAAAAAATTGTTTATTCATGGAAAAAAATCGTCAAAGAATAATTCTGAACGAAGCGCGTGCGGCGCATGCTTAGTGTCATTTCTTTCGGACTTAGCCATTCTTCCATGTAAACAAACGAACAAAATGTCTTTAAAGCTGAATTATATGATCTTGGAAAAATCCAGAAACACCTGAATTTCTTAACTTATGTAAAAGAACGAGTTACTAACCCTAATCCATTGGATGGTATGCAGCCCTGACTAAGACGTTTAGACGAAATCTCCCGGGCAGATGCTAGACTAACCCTAATCAGTCGAATAATTTGCGAGAATTAACCCTAATCTCTCGGATGGATGCGAGACTAACCCTAATCAGTCGAATACTAGTGCAAGGACTAACCCTAATCTCTCAGGTGGGTGCAAGACTAACCCAAATCAGTCGAATAGTGTGCAAATTTAACCCATTTCAGTTGAGTGACGTAAATGTTACGTCATAGTCCAATGAGTGCGAGGATCTTGCGGATCTTGGGACCGGTAAAGTAAAGTCTACCCTCGATGCGATATATTCTGGTGAGCTTGCGATAAAAGATCTGACCGAATCTGACATATCTAGCTGTTTCATACTTGGATATTTTACTTGAAGAAGACGTTAATGGTAATCTAACAACCAAGCACTATGATAAACGTGATGCCTTAAACTTTTCTATCGTCAACTTCCCTTACTTATGCAGCAATATACCTTCATCACCTGCATAGGGAGTTTATAGATCTCAGTTGATTTGATATGCAAAAGCATGCTCTACATATGAACAATTTTTAAAACGAGGTAAATTATTGACAAACAAGTTTATGAAACAAGGATATAAGCAGTTTCGTTTAAAGTCATCATTTCTTAAGTTCTAAGGTCGATACAATGACCCTGTCAGCAAATGCAATTTATCATTGAGTCAAATGCTGACTGACTTTTTCAAACTAATTGTTAGTCCATTATTTTTTAAACTGAATTGACGACGGATTTTTACGTTATTTCCCGATCTTGACAAAGAGCACACGGCGGGTGTGACCGGTCGGCAAGGAATGTTCACTCCTCCATGGCACCTGATCCCACTTCTGATATTTTTTAGGTCCGTGGTTGCTCTACTCCTACTCTGTATTGTTTTATAGACTTCGACATTAAATACTGTTCGTTATCTCTATATCCGTCAATTCTTCCTAAAAAGGCATAATAAATTAATAGTAGTATTATAATAGTACTTGTGTAGACATGTTTTTTTTTAATTTTAAATCAACCTAGTTTATCTTGTGCTTAGTGCAAGTATTTTCAACTCAATATGAGTGTCACAATTTATAAAAGCTACAAAATTATATATAACCTTATGGAATGCATATAAATGATAATATAATTGAATTTAACAAGTATAGAAATTTATGCATCCTAATTAGATTCTTTGTTGATAAAGAACACAGTTAAAATCATTTTAATATCAGATTTTCCCCTAGATCTTTCAAGTAATTCACATGTCCAGATTTTGTTGTATCATTGTTACAAGTTAACAAGGAAACAATAATCGTCTAGGAGCGTTTAAAGTCCAGTAGACTTTTTTCAAGGTGTCCGTGTTGAATCACTGACATAAACACACTTCCTCTCAGCACCATTGTAGAAATCCATACACAACGGTCTCTGTATACAGCTAGCAGACAGTTTCTGATCAAACAAGTTCTGATCACATAACAAGTTCTGATCAACAAGTCACTCTTTGAAATCCATAAACAGCAACAATTTGTATAATGTATCACTGGGTAAAACAAGATTTAATTTTTCTTTGGTGTTTTATCTAATAAAGCCAGTTCATGTGATAAAACATGATTATTTTGTATAGTATATATGTCGATTGTAACTGTTGAAAGAAAATTAAGAGAAATAATTGTTACATACTGTGGAACCATCATTGTTCATGTGGGAAAAATATTCGTAGATTTCGTGGTTCACCCTTATCCACGAATTTACATCCCCACGAATATTTATATTTACTTAGGAAGTAAGAATCTGAAGAAGTGACTTTTGAGCCCCCTTTATTTTTCTTCTATATAGGGCTGCTACAAGGTGACAATGCTGCAAATATAAAAAAGACACATTACACTCAGAGCATTGGTAGTTTGTTTGTGATTTATGTAAAAAATGTGTTCATACAGTCAACCCTGGCTATCTCGAAAGGGACTGAGAAAAGACATCAATATATTGAAGATTTTAGAGATATTCAGGGCAAAATACCTAAATAACAAGGGGTTAGGACTTACAAATAACTTCAACTTATGTTCTCCTTCGCTTCGCTCATCCGAACATAAATTATTTCCTGTTCTAATATAAAATAAAACAAAACACAGAATATAGGGTAAGACATAGTTAGCCATTTATTAAAGTCAAATTGTACAAAGATCCATAGGAGGGCAAATCGTTATCCATAATGAAGGAGGAGGCGGCGATGTTGGGCAGATTAATTTAAACTGATTTGTAGAATTGATATAAACGCGTCCTAAGGTGCGTCCACAAAGAAGCTCTTGCTTGCTGCATTTATTAGACGAATACATTTATGAAAACAGGTCTTCAATAGAACCAATTCTTTACCTTCCTTCTACAATGTATCAAAGAAATAATTAATTAAATATCACAGAACAAGAAGATATTTAACACGATATTTATAGTCCCCACTTCACTGAAACTATAGTTTAGATTTTAGCGAGGCATTACCAGGTCTTATTGAGTTGGACTCCATAAATGGAAATAATATGAAAAACGTAAGAAACAATTATGCTTCCCTCGCCGCCCAGGAAAAACCATAGATAAAAAACAACCTTATGTTGAAAAAACTATGGAAACCTGTAAGTCCGCAGCAATTGCGAGGTAAACAAAATGAATGGCGGACTCATTCTCACAAACTTAAGGCAAAAGTGTCATTAATTATAATGTACAATAAATTGACTTTTTTAAGTAGAGCTAAGAAAATAAAAACATATTAGAATGACTGTAAACACTACATCAAAGCATATGCGGCATTATTGAAGGGATTCTAAATGGAGAAGAATACAAAATTCCAGCTGAAAGGTGGAATCAGTAAATATCCTGACTGAGAGAGGTTTCCTGTTCAACAAAGCGTTTTCCAATATCTGAAAATACATCTAAATGAATCGTCGAAAATAATATTCACAAAAACTTGTAAGTCGTTGGCTAACTTTTGTCGAGTGATTACAATAGCTAATTCCAAGATTTAAATACCCTAAACCGAATGCATGCAACTTACTACGATAAACAAAATAGTGCCACTCAAATTGCCAACCTCAAAATTAATTTAAATACCCAATACTTGCAAGCCTTGCTGGTCCAGTGGAATGAGCGAAAGCTCCCAAAATCAAAGGTCCCCGGTTCAAATCCATCGAGGGACACGCATATTTTTCTACTTTTTAAAAACGAAAAGAAATTTATTTATGTTCTCCTTCGCTTCGCTCATCCGAACATAAATTATTTCCTGTTCTTATATAAAATAAAACAAAACACAGAATATAGGGTAAGACATAGTTAGCCATTTATTAAAGTCAAATTGTACAAAGATCCATAGGAGGGCAAATCGTTATCCATAATGAAGGAGGAGGCGGCGATGTTGGGCAGATTAATTTAAACTGATTTGTAGAATTGATATAAACGCGTCCTAAGGTGCGTCCACAAAGAAGCTCTTGCTTGCTGCATTTATTAGACGAATACATTTATGAAAACAGGTCTTCAATAGAACCAATTCTTTACCTTCCTTCTACAATGTATCAAAGAAATAATTAATTAAATATCACAGAACAAGAAGATATTTAACACGATATTTATAGTCCTCACTTCACTGAAACTATATTTTAGATTTTAGCGAGGCATTACCAGGTCTTATTGAGTTGGACTCCATAAATGGAAATAATATGAAAAACGTAAGAAACAATTATGCTTCCCTCGCCGCCCAGGAAAAACCATAGATAAAAAAACAACCTTTTGTTGAAAAAACTATGGAAACCTGTAAGTCCGCAGCAATTGCGAGGTAAACAAAATGAATGGCGGACTCATTCTCACAAACTTAAGGCAAAAGTGTCATTAATTATAATGTACAATAAATTGACTTTTTTAAGTAGAGCTAAGAAAATAAAAACATATTAGAATGACTGTAAACACTACATCAAAGCATATGCAGCATTATTGAAGGGATTCTAAATGGAGAAGAATACAAAACTGCAGCTGAAATCAGTAAACATCCTGATTGAGAGAGGTTTCCTGTTCAACAAAACTTTCTCCAATATCTGAAAATACATCTAAATGAATCGTCGAAAATAATATTCATAAAAACTTGTAAGTCGTTGGCTAACTTTTGTCGAGTGATTACAATAGCTAATTCCAAGATTTAAATACCCTAAACCGAATGCATGCAACTTACTACGATAAACAAAATAGTGCCACTCAAATTGCCAACCTCAAAATTAATTTAAATACCCAATACTTGCAAGCCTTGCTGGTCCAGTGGAATGAGCGAAAGCTCCCAAAATCAAAGGTCCCCGGTTCAAATCCATCGAGGGACACGCATATTTTTCTACTTTTTAAAAACGAAAAGAAATTTATTTATGTTCTCCTTCGCTTCGCTCATCCGAACATAAATTATTTCCTGTTCTAATATAAAATAAAACAAAACACAGAATATAGGGTAAGACATAGTTAGCCATTTATTAAAGTCAAATTGTACAAAGATCCATAGGAGGGTAAATCGTTATCCATAATGAAGGAGGAGGCGGCGATGTTGGGCAGATTAATTTAAACTGATTTGTAGAATTGATATAAACGCGTCCTAAGGTGCGTCCACAAAGAAGCTCTTGCTTGCTGCATTTATTAGACGAATACATTTATGAAAACAGGTCTTCAATAGAACCAATTCTTTACCTTCCTTCTACAATGTATCAAAGAAATAATTAATTAAATATCACAGAACAAGAAGATATTTAACACGATATTTATAGTCCCCACTTCACTGAAACTATAGTTTAGATTTTAGCGAGGCATTACCAGGTCTTATTGAGTTGGACTCCATAAATGGAAATAATATGAAAAACGTAAGAAACAATTATGCTTCCCTCGCCGCCCAGGAAAAACCATAGATAAAAAAACAACCTTTTGTTGAAAAAACTATGGAAACCTGTAAGTCCGCAGCAATTGCGAGGTAAACAAAATGAATGGCGGACTCATTCTCACAAACTTAAGGCAAAAGTGTCATTAATTATAATGTACAATAAATTGACTTTTTTAAGTAGAGCTAAGAAAATAAAAACATATTAGAATGACTGTAAACACTACATCAAAGCATATGCGGCATTATTGAAGGGATTCTAAATGGAGAAGAATACAAAACTGCAGCTGAAATCAGTAAACATCCTGATTGAGAGAGGTTTCCTGTTCAACAAAACTTTCCCCAATATCTGAAAATACATCTAAATGAATCGTCGAAAATAATATTCATAAAAACTTGTAAGTCGTTGGCTAACTTTTGTCGAGTGATTACAATAGCTAATTCCAAGATTTAAATACCCTAAACCGAATGCGTGCAACTCACTACGATAAACAAAATAGTGCCACTCAAATTGCCAAAATCAAATTAATTTAAATACCCAATACTTGCGAGCCTTGCTGGTCCAGTGGAATGAACGAAAGCTCCAAGAATCAAAGGTCCCCGGTTCAAATCCATCGAGGGACACGCATATTTTTCTACTTTTTAAAAACGAAAAGAAATTTATATAATCTTATGGTATTCGAGATATTGATGTTTGAGATCCAAAGTTCAAAATGCAATAATAATTTCAAAGTTATTATAAAAACATTTGAGAATCTGTTCTATGATTACAATGAGTAACAATGTTTTATGGATATGGAATGTTTTGTACATAAACTGTGCAAAAGTTCAGATCATTATTTGGTAATATGGATAGATGAATATATTGTCATATTTTACGTTGTACAAGTCTGTGAATCCAGGAACAACATACAGAACCTGTCCATAATACTATGCATCAACAAACTTGTACTTTATGTGCTTGTTTAAAAGTAAGAGTTTTTTCTTTGATTTTCCTCTGTACTTGATCCTTTTCTTGCTTCATTTATTAACGCTTACAGATTGGCCACCAGTTGTTCCAGAATATTTGCCTTATTCCCTCCACAAAAAAAATGCAAATAATGATTTGTCATTGTGTTCTGCTGCAATTTTTTCTCCTAAATGTTAACTGATCATCAATTTTTCCTGACTTTCTGTCAATTTCTGCAAGCTGTTGCCTCATATCTTTTAAAGACTGCCATACACCCCCCCCCCCCCCAAAAAAAAAAAATCATTTGTCATTCCCTCTTTGGCTTATGTAGTTTTTCCTTCTTTTGAAGGAGTTCCTTTTCTTTCTTCTTACTTACCTCAAGATCCGTATGAGATGGTGATTCTTTCTTCTAGCAGGTCGCCTTGGAGGGATTGTTAATGGTGATCCAAAGCTAGTTCTTCACTTTTTGATATGCAATCAGATATTATTATAATATGCCATTAATAAACAAACAAAAACATTTAAAAGTTTACATGTATGATCACAAGTTTTTTTTTTTTATTAATCCTGTGTTTTATTTATCTTTTCTGGCTTTATTAGAATTCTAACTCTCACTATCACTTCTTGTAATGATAACTGGTACCTGTGCTGAACATGGTTCAGATACTACAAAGATTTTTTATATAACAGCCTGTCAGTGGACCGATTGGCAGTGGATTTAAATGAATTAAGAGACAATAAGTTACTAGTACATCAAGAAATATGTGCTTTATGCTGGAAGAGCTGAAATAAAAAAAATATTACTGTTTTTTATTCACTTGACTTAGAAACTGTTAAAATTGTATTATTCATCCAAGGAGAGAGAGTGTGTTTCAACTGATGGCGAAACAGTTTTATCTGTGACAGAATCACTTGTAAAGTCTGGACTCGGATATCTGAAAATTTGTAAATTATAACTGTTATGTAATACATAAGTTGTAGGATGGATTTCAAAAAGATAACAGACTTTAGATTCTAAAAAAAATCATTAATTGTTGCTGAAATAATATAACAAACCAGTTTATGTACAAAAAGTGATATCGATTCCTAGTGTTTGCATTTAATTTTGTCATCTCCCTTTTTAGCGTTTCCATACTGTTTAAGATGAGGCGTTGTTTTAATACTTCTATTTTTTTTTTATATCAGAAAATAATTTTCTAACATCAAAAATTTGAATATTTGATATCATAAAATCATTTTCTAAGAATACAAGTCATTCTACTGCATCAAGAATATAAATTCTTGACATCAAAGAAATCAAAGAATTACAAGATCTTTTTTGATATCAAAAATCCTTTTGATATCAAAAGTTCGTTTTTCTGATACATGTATAAGAAAAATGATTTTCTGATATCGAGAATTCGATTAAAAAAAAATATCAGTATCAAAATTATTTTCGATATCATGAATTAGATTTTTTGAAATCTATATATATATATTTGTTATCAGATAATGTTTTTTCTATTCATAACATGCATTTTTAATTTTAATATTAAAAATTATTTTTTGATGTCAAGAAATACTTCACTGATATCAAGAATTCGAATTATTGATATAAAAGATTCTATTTTCTTTGAAATCAGAAATACCAACAAAATCATTAGTATGACACTTCATACATGTGAATTAATGCTTCTGTAAATTTATCAGAATAGACAATTCAAGGCATATTTGTTAAATGTTTTTTACTTTCTTCATCGTGTTAAAAACTTATATGAAATTGGACAGAAAATATGTTTGTTAACATATTTTCACACACGTGGTGACAGCCAGCTTAAATATCGATAAACTGAGTTAGGCCTCAAGATATGAACGGTAGATTATGTATCTACAACTTATACACCTATGTAGTAAAATACAGAAAAAATATAAATACGTATACTGAGTATTAGTTTTAAAACATTACTCACCCGTATATTTTATGGAGTAAAACATACCTTCCAACTATACTTCACACGCCAAAGGTTGGTAATGGTATGGGGCATCACAAACGACTTCACAGCATCACCAAAATGTTTTAATACACGTCGATAATACCGTAACAACCCGTACTTTATAAGCCTATAAGTATTTCTGAGACAAAATGAAAACGAGCCTGGGGAAATTCAGAAATTTATCCCCCTTACTTTGGCATTGCTACAGTTGTGACCATGTATGTATCTATGTTTGTTTTTATATAAAATAACTGTCTTTTTAATTTGGCCAAGAATTAGAGTCATTCCTTAAATAATAACGTTTGGCGAAGTTTTTCTTGACAGATAATTAAATGACGTATAATAAACAATTCCTTTTACGTCATATTTCACCAAACTATATCATTTTGCCATGCAAAAAAAAAAAAACAAAAAAACAGTACTGCAGTTACCGTGAAGCAGTCTCTATGTATTTAAGAAATAAGGTATCATTTTTTTTGAGTTTTCTTGGGATGAAAAACGGGTTGGTCACGTGATCAAATCCCATAAAGCCCGAAGTGCTTTATGTAAGATTTGATCATGTGCCAACCCGTTTTACATCCCAATAAAACTCAAAAAATGATACCTTATTACTTATATTTACATTTGTGACTTATTCATACTTTAAATTTGCCTGATTATGACTTTTAACGTGTGAAATGCATTATTTTTCAAACCCAACGGCATGTATGTAATCCACTGAACGCATGTCGACCTTTTATGACGTCACCGAGAAATTACGTCGAACGTTTATCCATACGAACATCTATGACCTCTTGACCCCGTATTTATGCAGTTATGAAAACGCTTACTTTCAGTAGTGTTATGTAAAGGGAAACATTTGCAAATGTAAATATTTAAGAAATAAGGTATCATTTTTAAACATCTATCGGGATATAAATACGGGTTGGTCACGAGATTAAATTCCATAAAGCCCGAAGGGCTTTATGATGAATTTAAGGTAGGTCGCGGGTTTACTGCATACAAATTCTTACGAGAAAACATATCCTGAAAATTTGATATAATGTTCCCGAGAATTTACTGCGTATTATCTGCATTTTTTATAAAATTTGCCTACGTAGTTTTAATGCTATATTACTATAAACGCGGTATTGTCATTAGTACAGTTTTTACGCTTTACTATTGAAAAATATAGAAAAATGACGTTTTTATGCCAATTTTGTGAAAATAGTTTCTTTTAAAAAGGTTAGATAACTTTTTAAAGACGTAGACGAATTAGTCAAGAATTTCAAAATGTCAAGATGAGGTAAAATAAAAACTATTGATATAAAAAAATCAGTATGTCTTCTCGCTAGATTTTTCGCTAAAAAAATTTCAAAGTTCCCTTTTATATTGCTGAAATGTAGCGTTTATGGCGTTATTTATGTCTACAACGTCATTTGTTGAACGTTGTAACGTTTACCGTACGAATATAAATATTTTGACATTTTGAATATGCAAGATCTAAAAGATGTCATATTAAAACTCAAAATTTAATTTTATTCATCATTTAACTTATTGTGAAAATATAATAGGATGACCAGCAACTTATTTTCACTAGTATTGTGAATTCATATTCTAATCACAGAGTCGGAATGAAGGGTACATGTATAAACATACCTCGTGTATGAGAATTCCTGTATATTTAGGAAATTCATGGTGGAAAGGATTTCAGACATAACACAAAAATTTGATCACTTTATTAAAAAAATAACGGTAATGAAAAAACTCTTAGATACTGAAAAATTAGCCAGGGTTGGGGGTTGGGGTCGGGGGTGTATTTTTTTTTCTATATATATTAGACGCAAGCTAGTACATTGGCCTAACTCTTAAACATTCGTTAATTACGAATTTTCTTAATCAAATTTCCATGCACAAAATGTAAAATACATACACTTGAATTGAACTTTTACACTTAGACTAGAGCTTTTGTTTAAAACTTTTGATAATAGAAATAGATACTTGTAAATTGTTTACAGATACTTGTAAATTGTTTACAGTGTCATATAGGTCTTATCGGTGTTTGTATAAATTTGGATTTTGAAAGCATTTCACAATTTATCAGCCATTAAAACAAGGCGACTAGATGAGATTTAGATTCATAATAAGTAACCAAACAATACTTAATGATGATGATGAGGAGGAACAAAAGGAAAATGCATGTATTAAATTTAATGCGTTTTTAGTGTTGAGGATTGATTCCATCCTGAAAATTATACACATATTTTCGCCCTAGCTTTGATTAGCAGTCATGATGCAATACGCATGTTCCCCCAGTTGCAAAAAAAGTGGCCAAATACAACCCCTCAAGTTTTCCGCTAAACAATTTTATTTATGATAACTTTCTTTCTGAATACCATAACTTTTACGCTGACTTATTCTGATTGACTTTTAGAGGTAAAGTAATACATAATTATATTTTATAAATTAATTATTCCTTTCATTTGGTATTGTATTTAATTTTTCCTGGGGCATTAAATATACAAGTAATCACATGAGAGTTCAGACTGAAATTTAATTATAAAACATGTACGGGTTTTACGTACTTAAGCATGCACTTTTAATCTACTTGATTCGTACTGACTTGAAGTCATTTGCAGAAAATTAAGCGGGAAACAAAACAACGTTGCCTTTGTGACGTAACTGACGTCATAATCAAATGTGCACAAAACAGCCGCTCGAATCGTCGAAATTGTGTACCAAAATTGATGACAAAAGCAAACCCGCGACCTACCTTAATCTCGTACCAACCCGTATTTATAGCCCGATAGATGTTTTAAAATGATACCTTATTACTTATATTTACATTTGTGACTTATTCATACTTTATATTTGCCTGATTGTGACTTTTAGCGTGTGAAATGCATTATTTTTCAAACTCAACGGCAAGTATGTAATCCACTGAACGCGCGTCGACCCTTTATGACGTCACTGAGAAATTACGTCAAACGATTATCCATACGCACATCTATGACCTCTTGACCCCATACCTGTATTTATACAGTTATAGATATGCATTCCTTTCAGTAGTGTTATGTAAAGGAAAACATTTGCAAATGTAAATATTAGTTTATAACTTTTTGATTATAAATGCAAAGTGTTGAAGTACAGAAGGATTAAAGACGGAAATGACAAACATTGCCATATTTGTGACAGGGCATAAAACATCACCTGTTGCAGTGTTAGTTTTTCATGGTGGATGGGGGTTCTGGTTTGATCTCGGAAAATTAAAGTACTAATTTCATCTCAACTCATAATTTTTTTTTATTTTTAAGATCAGGGTTTTTTTTTATTGGCAATTTTAAATAAATTATTCAAAGTAGGTAACGGTGTGCTTACTTCTGGGCTCACAGCTGTAGTTAACCTGTAGGTATTTAGATGTGTTAACACAAGGGTCTCCAAAAACCTCACTGGAAGCCGTAATGTTACATTCGGGATGACCATCGCATCTTCAACAGAAAACATAAACCACTATGTATAATATAAAATCACCAATTGTCAATATGCATCTTGTACAAACTTTTTAATATTAACCCTCTTGAACTTTTTTCTGTGATAAGTCACTGCATGCAACATGCTTTTAAAAACCCAGACCAGAAAAATCTGCACAAACCAAGTAGTCCAGACATTGTGTATATTGTTAGACTGAAACTTTCTAAATTCTGTCAGTTTTTACCACTTATCAGAAATCGGTCAAATAAGATATATGTGCATACTTCGCATCTGTTTAAAGTTTTTGGATAGAAATTTATTATACCCCCCGCTTGAAAAGCGGGAGGGTATACAGTAATCGTTAATTCCGTCCGTCCGTCTGTTACGCTTTGGGGTACCCAACTCTTATGAGCAACTCCTCCCATACCACTGAATGAAATTTGATGAAACTTTCACAGAATCTTTATTACATATTGCCATTGTGACCTCCTATTTTACTTTTTGATACGACACATATTTTGGGTTTCCCGGCAACAGCAAAACATGGAATTTGCCATTATAACTATATGGAGGCGGGGGTTATCATTTAGTGAGCTCATCGCTCACAGTACCTCTAGTTTTTCTTTACAGTTTGAAAAAATAAAATCACAAAGTCAAATCCATTAAATAATGAAAAAGTGTGTTTTATATTTTTGTGAATAGGTAGGTAGGAATTTGAATGACTAAGTTAGATACTAAACTGAGAAAAAAATCTTATTCTCAGTTTAGTATCTAACTTAGTCATTCAAATTCCTACCTACCTAGTGAAGGTATATCTAAGATTAATGTTAAAAATGTATAAAACTCTGCATGAACTTAGCATTTTAGAAAACATATATTTACACATAATACATAGCTTATTATCTTAGATTTTTGCCAAACTTCTGTACATGTATTTACATACCTAAATGATATTAATTTTTTTTGTCTACCTTTCTGCTACAATTCTTTTGGATTCCGGATGTATACATCTCACATCTTCATCAGTTGTATTTTGGCTTTTACAGGTCCCCAAATTTATTCTTCCGTAGTTTGCCTCTGAGATGCGAATAATTCCTTTTTTCTTTTCACAGTCCAGTGTAAGGACACTGTTTTCACAAACAATAGGGGCTGTTCAACATAATTAAAAACAAAAATAAATTGAATGGATTTTATGTGTAAGGTTGGTGTTAGACCAGAGGAAAATATATCACCTTTTTTTATTTTCAGTGTTCATTAATGACCTAGAAGATTATTTAACCAGAAATCAAATAAATGGTTTTACATATCCTTGTTAACAATTGCAAAGATGACATGATGTTCTGTTGAAACTAAGTACTGTCTACATTTTTATGCTGATGATACGGTCTTAATGAGCTTCTGATTTAAAAAAAGTCACTTGATGTGTTTGCTGAATACTGTTATTCATGGAAACTCCGTGTTAACATAGCCAAAACAAACGTCCTTATTTTTTGTAAAGGTCCAATGACGAAGTCGATTTTTATATAATGTTGTGGCTATGGAGAATGTGAAATAATGTATAATACATAACTGATTTTATTATCCTTCAGAATTATACAGTCAATCTGATTGGTTTAGAGCAGGTCACGTGCAGGGAGACAACTCGTGGTGTCTCCCTCACGCGCAGGGACACAACTGTTATCTCCCTTCAGATGACAATGAAATAGCGTAAGCGAGCATGCAGGGTTATTACTGTGTTGTCGCCCTTTGAATAAAACTACAGTGGTTCAAGCGAGATAACTCATATTTATAAGTACAATGGCTAAATATGCGGAATCGGTAAACAATAAATTCTAACGATGACATCAAAGTTGTCCGTTGACGTATTTTGAAAGTATACGGAATCGGAGCAGAATAGGAGAAAATAAGAGGTTTGATTACTATTTTCTACTCTAGCTAATTGATAATTGTATATTCTTCAGGATAATAAAACTATTATGGACTGTTTAGAAGGGAGACATCACTAATTATCAGGTCTGAGTAGGGTTGTCACCCTCGGGCGCAAGCGCCCTCGGGTGACAACCCTACTTAGACCTGATAATTGGTGATGTCTCCCTTCTAAACAGTCCATAATTGTATAATATATTTATCTCATTCTTTTCTTTTTTCTTGACATACTTGTCTTTTTTTACCCTTGAATGTAATTTTTGTTTGTATTTAAAGAATGAAGCTTATTTCAACTTACATTATACGATATAACATAACTTGGGGCAGTTTACGGTTTATCAACCGCGAAGCGGTTCTTTCGAATAAAACGATGTTATCTTTGAGTTTTCTGATGAACAATAATTCTTATTCGTGCACAATTTTTGTTATATCGTACAAAATAAGTTGAAATAAGCTTCCTTCCTTATAATTTAATTTCAGTGCATATAATATGGCAATTTTCTTCTCAGAATAACGCTTTACATTGATTAAAATTTAAAAATAACGTCAAGCAGATTAATACGTTTTTGACGTAACTGATTGTGACGTAGGCAAGTTATGTTATACAAAATGGATAAAATCTTTTATCCAATCAAATGACGCATTATTTCTAACGCACATTAGTTGCATAAATTTTTCAACATATCATTGAAAACAATACTCTGTTTATTCTGGATTGTTGAAATGAATATTTCTTCAATAAAAGAATTAACATGTTTATAGGTATGTGATCTTCTTCAACAAAAAAAAAAGTTTTCACATCAAATTCATTTCTTTTACCAGACTTTTGAAAAAAATGAACTGACAATGCTGGTCAAATCATAGAAACCAGTGGACGGTAGAAAATTTTATGTTTAATTGTTTCTGGTTCTTATTCATATACTGAACAAAGATGACAATATTTAATTTTAGACATGTGTATGTATTTAAAATTTTATGAATAATTCTTTACTTGAACCATATCAGTCCTTATAAGCAGGCAAATTTATATTCAAAGCTGATTACGTCATTGTATAAATACCTACGTTTCTGTTAGTGCACGAGATGATGTTATCAAGGGGATTCTGTGTTAAAGTTGTTTTACACGGATTAATCAGAGAAACAGATTGATGAACATTATAATCCTTCAAACTGTGAATTAATGAAAAACTTAACACATTGGATGAAACTAATGTCTAAAATAAAGGGGCTGAAGAATATTCTTTGAAGGTAATTAACAAATCACTTAAGATTCAATAATGTTAAATGTTTTTTTATCTCTCCTTGCAAATTAGACTTAGTTATATATATTTTTTTAGTTCAACTTAAATTTTCCTTTATTCGATTATATCACGAATTAACTATATAAAATTATATATTTTATTTTACTTTTTCTGCATTTTACAATTGTCAGATCAAAACTGTTAAAATTTGAAATGTCTTCACAATTTTAGTTTATTTGCAAAATGTGTTAATTTATATGCATAGATGTCATAGCCATATTCCTGGCAGGGAATAAAATCTCACCTCTAATAGGGAGTTGACACATGGATTCGTCAGGTCTCTCTCCCTGCCAGCCTGCTCCGGTACATTTCCAGGTCACTTTCCCAAGTTTACCCTCAGGACAAGGCCTCTCTACCTCCTTCCCCACCCTCACCTGGGGCCAGATTATCCCCTGGCTCACCGTCATTTCACAGAATCGTATCTTTTGGGTGGTTGTTTCTCCTGAGGGACTTTCTAATGAAAAGAAAATCAACCTTTTTCAAAGTAATTATAACATATACATATACCTGTCATCAATTGATTAATTCTACATGTATTTTTTAAGTCAAAGGTAGGTAACTTTTTAAAAGAATAAAATAGAATATTTCCTGACAAATCAAGCATTATGAAAACAAAACCAAAAGTCTCTGATGAGACTGTAGCTCTACTGGTCTGTAAGTATAACAAAGGAAAAGTAGAATTTAGATTTGAAACTTTGCAACAGGCAGCAATAAACAGAATTCTGTATCTTAGTGTAGTTTACATGTGTGCCAAGTTACATGTATATTGAAATCAGACCAAAACTGTAGGAGGAGTAGCATTTTGAAAAATTGTTTACAGACAGACAGATGGACGGACGACGGACACATTACTTTCGTATAAGCTTATCTGGTCTCTGACCAGAGAGCTAAAAATTGTAGCACATGTTCAAATAAAGTGCAATAAATTGCCACAAAACCTTCTAAACTGATATTAAAATATATCTTTGAAAACCCCCACCTGTAACAGGTAGCTCACATTTGGAGTCGTCTGGCCTCTCCCCAAGCCAGCCCCGTCCTGTACATCTCCAGGTCACGGTGCCCACTTTTGGTGGCGGACATTTCATGGACGCTACATCTCCCACATTGGTGTACGGCCAGTTCTTCCCTTCAATGTACACCGCATCACAGACACGCCGCAGTGGAGTGGTGGTGATGGCTTTCCTGGTTGTCGTGGTCCCAGTGGTACTTTCAGTGGTGTATGGGGGTGCTGGATTAAAGCACCAATTTTACCTCAGTTTATCTTTTTTAACATAAGGGATATTTTTTGTTAAAAATTGTCATTTTCAATTAATTATTCAAATTAGATAAAGGTGTACTTACTTCTGGGCTCACATCTGTAGTAAACCTGTAGATACTTAAATGTGTTAACACAGGGGTCTCCAAAAACCTCACTAGAAGCCGTAATGCTGCATTTGGGATGACCATCACACCTGCAACAGCAAAGATATACCAGTATGTGTCATATATAAACTCATCCAATGTCAATATGCATCTTGTACAGACTTCTAGATATTAACCCTCTTCAGCTTTTTTTTCTGTGTCCCTGCATGCAAGATATGCTTTTAAGAGGCAGTCCACCGAAAAACCAGGCAGTATTGTACTAATAGGCGGCACGTCGAATGTGATGAATATTTGAAAACAATATCAATGTAGTCCAAATGGAATAATGTAATCGAAGATTTGTTTGAAAATTGCTTATTTAGTAAAATATCCTTTTGTTTCGTGTTCTTGAATTCCCCTATATAAACTAGCTATTCAATTTAGGTCAGAAACAAAGAACTGTAATTTCCAATACATTTTTAACAGGACTATAATTCATGCTGAACTAAATCTAGAAATATTTCGTCTTTCAGTTTCAAAAATAAAATCGATGGGCAAAACACTTTTGATAGTAGTTTTCTGGCAAAATATATAGACGTTTTTATGAAATTTTGCGATGTAAGAGTTATCTCCCGTGGCATCGGTAAATCTGCTATACGCCTTACTATCGGAATCCTATTGAAATATTTAGAATATATACACAAAAAAAAAATACTAAACAAAAAATTACTACTTTATTTTCAAAATAGAATTCATTTTCGTCTCCAAACGTAATATTTAGATTAAAATTGGCAGTATTATTCAGGCTGAATCCACGTTTCCATTGATATATAAGTGACTCATATACCTGACTAATATTGCGTCACAATGAAATAGTCACAAGTTTTCCACAGAAGTTTGTAAATTCTTTGCATAAAAGCGCAAAGAAAAAAATTAAAAATATAAAAATGAATAATTTCTCTTTTTCTGTTCAATTACTCTTCAGAATGCATTATCCTAAATGTTAAATAATCATATATTTTTATATAAAACGTATTTTATTCACGGGCGGCGTCTCAGCTAGAAGTCCGTTTTGATCAGTAATTTTGTACATGTCCGAGAAATAATTTTTAAAACTGATTTACTAGGCTAGATGCGCAAAAATAATGAATTGTTTATATTGAACGTTTCTTACAAAATTGGGATGTGAATAGATTTTATTTTCTTCTGAATATCAAGGAAAGATGAATATTTTAAGACGTTTATTTCATGATATTTGTAAAAAAAAAAAAAAAACTCAGTCCAAAACAAATCTGTGCAAAACCAGTAGTCCTGACATTGTTAATACTGTTAGGCTGAAACCTTCTGAATTCTGTCAGTTTTTAACACTTATCACATATCAGTAAAATAAAATACATGCATCTATGTATACTTAGCATTTCTTTAAAGTTTTTGGATAGAAATTACATTTTTTTATAAGAAAAATAGAATCACAAAAGTTAAATCCATTAAATAATGAAAAAGTGTGTTTTATGTTTTTGTGAATAGGTATGAAGGATTTCGAATGATAAGCTGGATACTAAATTGGTTACTTAATGAAGGTAAATCTAAGATTAATGTTAAAAAATGTATAAAACTCACGACCTAAGCATTTTAGATATTTATGCATATTATGCAGATTATTGTCTTATATTTTGCCAAACTTCTGTACTTACATACGCATTTACATATAATCTAAATGATATTGAATTTTTGTCTACCTTTCTGCTACAATTCCTTTGGAGTTTGGCTGTATACATCTCAAATTCCATCCCTCAATGGTGCCAAGGCTGTTACAGGTCCCCAAATTTAATCTTCCGTAGTTTGCCTTTGAGATGCGAATCACTCCTGTTTTCTTTTCACAGTCCAGTGTAAGCAGACTATTTTCACAAACCAGAGCTGAGCGTTCTTGTATAGCAGAAGTTGGGTTGTAGAAAACAAAGCCTGGTCAAGACAAATAAAAACAAAAATGTATTGTTTGAACATTGAACAACTTGAGACAGTTTGGTCTATGGAAAAAAAATGTCATATTCATACTCCCTGTTTACCTGGTTATCGTAACCAGAAAATTAAGTTCCCTATCTGATTTATATTACAGGTGTTATTTTTCTGGTTCACTTTGGAATGAATACATTTAAAAACATGTTAATCCCTTTGATGAAATAATCAAAATACATGTACAAGATCTAGATTTCAGTCATAGCATTTCAGGTGATGATTGATAAGTAGAAAAATTCTTATTTATTTATTATCATAAGAAATACACAAACTCCTTTTGATCTCATCCTCTCATATATATTGGAAAAGAAGAACACTATAGGCTTAAACGTTCTTTTTTTTCCAGAATTTATCGTTTTGTGTACTCGTTCCTTTTAGTTCATAAGCTGAATAAAAGTGCAAAGCACTTTCATGTAGAGTTTGTGAGTAAAAAGGCATGCGTTTTTATATATATAAATTCTAAAAAAAAACAAAAACAATATGAAATTCTATAATTCCAGTTACGAATTTATAAAATAATTTCTCGCTGAGGCCTTCATACAATCTTTTTTTCTGTACAGCGTAGGAATACTTTATGCCGCAATGTATAAATTAAACGTAATCGAGATGAAGTTCAATAAAGTTCGACTTAAATTGTCATTGTCAAAACATTCAATGAATAAAATTATAAAAACTCCTCGAATATTGTATAAGTCAACAAATATCGTAAATACAAGTATACTTCAGAATATAATTCGACTTTGACAATGTTGACATTTACGACAACTCTCTAAAACAGCAGCAGACCGACGACACCCTTGATTTGCTCTAGTTTGTTCAAAGATGAGATAGAATATAGACTGTAGAAATCTTAATTTGATGCTTATAAGACAAGAGTCTGAGGCACATATCTTTCCTCCATTAGAACGCTACCAAGAACTGAGCTGATTTGCTTAGTATTTCTTAGGAACGTCGAGAATGACATCAGCGATTTTAAAAATTCACAGCCGTGATCTGACAGTGACATAAACATGATTTTCTCGTCTCTCACTCCTGTTTGTCAAAGGTCTTGTTTCATTTTATTTCAAGTTTCTGTAATCATAAATTAGCTAAAACAGGATAGAAGTAACTGTTTCTCGAAACATATGGAGATAACGAACAGTATTCAAGATCAAAAGTCCATAAAACAATACAAAATTGGAGCAGGCAAATACGGACGTCCAAAGCATCAGAGGTGGGATCAGGTGCCATGAAGGAGTGAGCATCCCTTGCCGACCGATCACACCTGCTATGTGCTCCTTGTCATGATCGGGAAATAACGGAAAAACCGTCGTCAATTCAGTGTATATATAATGGCCGGACTAACAATTGGTATGAAAAACGTCATGTCAACATTTGACTCTATAATAATTTTTTTTTTGCTGACAAGGTCATTGTATCGACCAAAGAACATGCCAAATGATGATTTTAAACGAGACTGTTGATATTTTTGTTTCAGCAACTTATTTATCATTAATTTACCTCGTTTTAGAAATTGTTCATACGTAGAGCATGCCCTTGCGTATCAAATCAAGTGAGATATTAAAACTCTGTATACACGTGATGAAGGTACATGTATATTGCTGCAGAAGGGGAGTTGACGATAGAAAAGTTTAAGTCATCACGTTTATCATAGAGCTTTTCAAGTGAGATATCCAAATATGAAGCAGATGTGTCAGACTTTGTGGTATCTTTTATCTCAAGCTCACCAGGATATATCGCATCGACATAAGAATGGAAATTACCATTGTTCAAAGACAATCGTCAATACATCGAAATGTCGAGTTGAAGGCCACAGTAAGTGTTTTTTTTTTACGTATCTGCTTTATATGAATACAATCTTCTAATAACGGGACACAATTGGTATCCATGGGAATTCCAATAGATTGGTGGAAAACCTCGTCTCCAAAAACAACATAGATACTGTCAATCATAAACTCAAGTATCTTTGTGATGTGAATTTTATAGTACATGTTATTTTTTCGTACAATAACCTAAAATTAGGTCCAGAAATAGTTCTTATTGATAAACTTATCGATTAGTCAAGTTTTTCGTGATGTTTTTCTCGTCAAATCAAAACACAGGGAAGCAATAAATAAAATTGACCATGTTAATACGATGTTAGCTCCTCAGCTTTTCAGCAGATTTTTGTCTTGACCTCTATTTAAAAAATTCTACATAATGTTTTACTTCTTATAATAAATTTGGATTCTATATGCTAAATAAACTATATTTATTTCAGATCCTTTGATTAAATTCTATACTGAAAACATTAAGTGAGAATGAAACATCTGGAAATAACGAACTGTATCTAAGATCAAAGGTCTATAAAACAATACAAAACAGGAGCAGAGCAAACGCGGACCTCCAAAACATCAATGGTGGGACCAGGTATCATGGAGGAGTGATCATCCCCTGCCGACCGGTCACAACCGTCGTGCGCTCCATGTTACAACTGGGAAACAACGGGAAAATCCGTCGTCAATTCATTGTATAAAAATGGACTAACAATAAGTATGAACAACGTCAGTCGGCATTTGACTCAATGATGTATTGTATTTGCTGACAAAGTAATTGTATCGACCTATATTTTGTGGCGGAAGTTTTTTTTTTTCAGAAGAAATAGATAAATTTTTCCTCTGTCGAAGTATTAAGTATTGTTGAAGAGTAATTCTGAGCAGCGCTACGTTCTATGCTGGTCCTTAATTAAATATTAAATAAACTGTCATGAATTCTATCATAATATTTGGCAAATATATCAACGTATCGTGAAAGTCCTTCAAAAAATAGACCAATTTTTAAAAGCTTTAGATTAGCACTGTTTTAGCAATATCTAAAAAATTGACATCACAGACCCCGACTTTTTTTTTTATTTTCTGAATATATGAGATTATTGTAACCACTCTGTTTAATTTCAGAAAAATGTTATTACTTTCAAATGATTTAAAGCTTTTAAAATTTTTAACACCAGAAAAAAGAACTTTTCTATATGCCATGGCAAAATTTTTGTATATGCCACCTTAATTTTTACATTGTTTTGATTTTTCATATCACAGAGAGATCCCCCTGCCATTGTTGTATATATGTTACCTGGTGATCTCCCATCGTCTAAATGTACATTCATCAATGATAATCATGTCTTGCTTAGACTTTAGGGAGATCCCGCTGCCTGTGTGATATTAGGTGCTCAATAAGTCTCTGTACGTTTATCTGGGATCTCTCTAGTAGTTAAGATTGTTTATTTGTAATTAGTTGTTATCTTCGTCATTAATAAATGACAATATTCATCAAACAATGTCTTGTAGTGTTTTAAGGAAGTAAAAATTAACAAAGCTGCAGGACCAACAGGGAACTGGTTTTCACGCATTCTTTACAATACGGGCATTTGTCTAGCATAAGATAAATGGAGAGCATAAATAACATTTTTTTTTAGTGCGGAAAGATTAAATAATTGACTATTCGAAGTAATTTGAAACTACTTTTGTCGTCACAATTTTTAATGATACTGTTTAAGATAAACAGAAAAAGACTGTGTTTGATCCAATAATTCATTTGGATAAAAAAATATTGAAGGAAAATCTTTGAAAAATTTATTTATGTGTTAGGCGTAAATTACAGTGCAAAAAGACATTTCCACTTGGACCATCTATTTTCTAAAAAGTATTTTTTGACAATATCTCGTCTCAAGTATAGTAATTATATAAATATGTCAAAAATAATTGAAAACAATACTGAAATTTTTTTCTGAATTGTTGAAATAATTTCCCCCGCTAACAGAATTATCCTGGTTATAGTTATGTGATCTTTTTAAAGAAAAAATTACAGTTTTCAAATCAAATTCAATTCTTTGACCAGAAATTGAAAAAATCGAATCTGACAATGCTAGCCAAATAATAAAAACCTATGGACAGTAGAAAAATATATGCTTAATTGATTTTGTTTCTAATTCACATACTAAAAGAGGTGGAAAATTTATCATTTTGGACGAATAATTTTAATTGAACATTGTATACCGGTAAGTCATGATAGGCAGGGAAATTTACATTCAAAGCTGATTACGTATATGTATAAATATCTACGTTTCTGTTTTGTACTTGTTGTTATTAAGAGGGTTTTTGCTAAAGTTATTTACACCTTTAAATCAGAGAAATGACTTGATAAACATTATAATCTTTAGACTCTGAATATATAATAAACCAAAACACATATGACGAATGTATAAATATGGACCAACAAAATTATCCAAAACTGGCAAAGTAATGTTTTTAACTCATCAAAAGGTGTAAATTATCGTATTTATAAAGAAATACTAGAACCAGAAAGATATCTCGTTAATCTACCTAAAAAATTTTTCAATTTTGTTATGTAAATTTAGGTGTAGCAACTTTAAACTCCCTATTGAAACTGGGAGATGGTATGGTATTCCAAGAGAACAAAGAATTTGTACTTTATGTGATTTTCATAAGGTTGGTGATGAATTCCATTGTGTTTTTGAATGCACACAAAAAGAAATTAAAGAGGCTAGGTTAAAATATATTTCAAACTCTTTCACATGTAGACCAAATATAGAGAAATTTAAGCAACTTTTTACGACAACAAACTGTTCAGCATTAAAAAAATTATGTAAATTTTTATTGATTGTCAAACAAATTATAGATGAAAAATGTCTGTAGTGCGACAAAGATGAGGTGAAAAATTAAATCTTAATTATATTCAAAATTTTCTTTGATGTTTCATCTAGCATAAAGGTACACTTTATGTAAAATTTCTACAATTACAAAAATCTCACAAAGACTGAAATTATTTGCCTATGAAATATGGTCGGCAGGGGATGCTCACTCCTTCATTGCACCTGATCCCACCTCTGATGTAATGGAAGTCCGTGTTTGCTCTGCTCCTATTTTGTATCGTTTTATAGACTTTTGATCTTGAATACTGTTTGTTATCTCCATATGTTTCATTCTTTCTACATTTATTATACCCCCGCTTGAAAAGCGGGAGGGTATATAGTAATCGGTATATCCGTCTGTTTGTTACACTTTGGGGTACCCATCTCTTATCCTCAACTCCTCTCATACCACTGAATGAAATTTTATGAAACTTTCATAGAATCTTTATTACATATTGCCATTGTGCACCTCCTATTTTACTTTTTGATCCGACACATATTTTGGGTTTCCTGTAGCAAAACATGGACACTGCCATTACATTCGTATGGGAGGTGGGGGTATCATTTAGTGAGCTCACTGTCCACAGTACCTCTAGTTTTTATTTTCATTTTTAATGGTATATATTTTAGCCTATGCCTGACATATTTACCCAACATGAAAACCGATATTTAAAGTTTTATGCGGAATATTACATGTTTTCTGCCTTTTGAAATCTGTGAATCAAAATTCCTTACATTTTATCAGCTTAGTCGTGCATCTTACAAACTTTACATAAACTGATAAACATACCACAGTCTTATGAAAAATTACAGTGAAAAATTCGCGGCAGTTGACAAAATGGCCGCTCGTTACAGTGTAAATAACGTTGTTGGTGAGGATTTGAGAGGCCGCTGGTCGCGTTACACGATTGTCCGTTGATTTCGAGTGGCCGCAAAGAGACAACTTTTACTGTACTGACATATTCTACAAAACCAGAGGTATTGTTCAGGAATTAATAAAACAGAAGTAACGTACATGAGACCAGTAAAATGGACCACAATGGCAGCATTTTGACCTTTATAGGTAACGTCTAGGTCACGACCATTCCAGTCTCACATCCTTATATAACGATGTCAGCAGCTCTGCAAAAACAACAAAATCTGTCTGTGACAACAACATGGGCCAAACATTCCTCGTTTAGTTTAAGAATTACCTTATTAATGATATACATAGAAGTATAAACAATCAACATAGATTGAACAACAGGCAAAAGTGGCCTATATTAGTTCTCTCCTGTAAAGATGGAGATATATACAAAGGTGACATTTGTATATATATTTGTAGTTTTACAAAGACGTGTTTTAAATAATTTTTCAAGGAGATTACAGTATAAAAAAATTGAAAAAGGGGAGAAAATGAACAATAAAATGAGATAGTAAAAGAAAAGGAAAAAACAGAGGAGAAAAACGAAAATTAAAAAAAGGGGGCTCAGAACCGGGGGCCCGTTTTAGAAAAAAAACAAGTATATACTGACAAAACGTCAGAGATACTCAAGCTGTAGAAAGTCAGCTAGGAAATGTCATTAATTAATATCCTAAAATGGTATAAGATGAAGGCTATTGAGTTCAATCTTCTGTTGAATTAAATACATGTACATGAAACAAAATTCATACATTGAATTTAATTAGAATAAATATAATTAATTGTACTACTTTTTAGATGAATTTACGTGACAAAATTCCAGGAATATTTTATAGAGGATAGTTGTCGTTTCTTAACTTAATGAAATATTTTTTTATGTATTTGTATTTTTTTGCTTAATGACGTACATCACAACCAGGCGTCGGAACTGGGGGGGGGGGATTTTTTTGCAAAGATAGACATAATATAGGCATTGAAAATTGGGGTTTACGTTATTTTGTTGGTTTAGACTCCCTTTCAATTAGCCCCCCTTTTCAGTTTGCTTCTGACGCCTATGACAACATTTAATACACATCAATCAAAATAGCTTGTTACAAGCCTATAGAAAAGTTTTTCAAAGTGGGAGGGGAGGGGGGGGGGGGGCTGCGGGCTCCAAATAAGCTAAGTGACTACGGATTCATCTAGCTGTGCAGCAGGTCCAATACGCATTCCGTACGAATCCAAAAGAAGTTATATAGGTTCCGTTATCAAACTGAAGGTAATACTATCTTTTAGAATTAAAAACAAACGTATGAGGGATAATTTAACATTAAGTTTTATTGCGTGGACCCTGAGGTCCACGCAGTAAGTATATAAGCGAGGTTAAATCGGATGCCATGGGCATATGTCAAACTACGCATGCGCGAAAATGTTCGAGAGTTCGCAATCGCATCATCTCGGGTCTTTCCGTCAGAGGTCGGAAAAACTTAAGCCAGTCGGAAAGACCGAAGAATTAGCGGCGATTGTGATAGTTCGCCCCCCCCCCCCCCCCCCCGTAGAATATACCATGTTCATTGGCAAATATCGCTTTTAAATCTGCATACCGTCTTTATTAGTTTATTACGCATCCGAATTTCTTTTTTATACATATACTTTTATATACAAATTAAGCATTGCTTCTATGGCAGATGCATTTTAAAAAGTAGAAAGAACTTGTCTTCATCGGCATTTTTTTTGTGCATCAAGGCTCGCAAAAATAATTTGATATACAGTAATCCATATACAGCTTGATAGAGGCCTTAAGCAATGGATTTCCATGTGCATGAAAAGGGGGGGGGGGCTCTGAAAAAAATCTGCATACTACAGCTAGAGCTATGCTACACGTGTAACATAAGATTTTTCAAATTATAGATTTCTTCCGTATAAATTCAGAAGAGATGTCAAGTCCCAGCCACTAAGGCTTACATGTATTAATATAGCCGATTTTTTAAAAATAAGAAAACTTTATCGGAGATAACATTTAACAATTTTGCCATGAAAGTACTATCAGTCAAAGTAGGCATATCATAATAGAAAATGTTAAAACAAACCTACATGAATATTTACTAAACCTAGAAATTGTTTTGAATTCAATTTCGGTTAGAAACACATGCATATGGTCCACGTATTGTAGTCCTTTCTTTAAAGTACAGCAACTTGTTTTGTGCTATTATCTTATTGTCACTCAAAGTACACATCATTTACAGGAAAGTGAGAAGCAATGTCAGTTTGGGAAGGGGGAGGCACAGCCATACTATTGTACTAATAATTTGTTAACGACGGGGTAACCTGCGTCATTTTCCAGAGTCACCAGTGGACTCATCCAAGGATGCTTTGTCGGCGACCGAAACGTCGGCGACTGAAAGTTACCTGAGATTCCTACGCAAAGGAAAGCGCGAAATCTCTGTATAGAAACTGTTGCGGCTGCGGAGCTTCTCTTATCGTCCATTCGCCATAGAATAGAATCCGATATTTAACACTTAATATCTATGAATATACAGAGGTTTTAAAGATAAGCTTCATTTTTGTTTCTAGAAATATTTTTGTCTACTAAAATAAAATATTTTCGTGTCTTAAAACTGAGTAAATCGATGACCTAGCATCGTTTTAGATAACTCAAGCCCCTCTAGGGCTTGAGTAAAAAGTAACGACTGAGACCTAAATTTAAATTTGCTTATAAATATCTCATTTACATTAAATTGAAATTTGTAAGATTTTAAAAAAGAAATGCGGGAAGATATCTTATAAGTAGCAATTTTATACAGGAACATTACTTTTTTTTTTTTTTTTTTAAATCTCGTACTTAAGTTTATGATCTTAGTCGTAAGTTCTTTTGTAAAACGTACCCCAGATCTGTATATTATGTACTTTCAGTCTTCATACTGCATGTTACTACTTATTACATTTTCACTTTCTTAATCTTTTAATGTTTTTTTAGTAAAATTATGAACTTATTGAAATAAAAACATAATTTCTCCAAGAGATAGACAATAATAACCAGATTATACCCAGAATACCCAAATCAACATTTCAATAGCATTGGTGATTGATGTACCTGTTGATCATGAAAGTTTTGTTGGTTTTGTAATAGCATTTGACAGTGAAATATTTTGCAAACATGTTTTAAATACAATGTTACCATCAGATAACATATTAAAGTTAAATTCATCCAATAAACAACAAATTGGTAATTCAATATTTACATTTCTAATTGTTTTCTAATTCTCTGTGATAACCCTTTGAAAGAGTGTGCAAATAGTGCAAATATAAATGTATGTTCATTAATACAATAACCATAACTAAAAGTCTGCTTAAATCAAGAAGTAGGTGTTGTGTATGATTATTTGACAACGGTTGGGGACTTAATTTATATTGATATGAAAATACAGTGATTTTGAAGAAAAATACTCGGAAATATCTTGTCACATGTTATGGACTTGTCAAATATGAAAGCTCTATCTCTTCTCCATCAAAAGTTATGAGGAAAAAATAACATTTTTGAAAAATAGGTCAAATGTCAAGGTTACGGGGTAAAAAAAATCAATTGCATTTAGAAAGGTCTCGTCACAGGCAATACACAGGTTCAGTATGAGAGCTCTCTTCTCATTCAAAAGTTATGACCAAGGTTAAAGTTTTTGAAAAGTATGACAATCTTCAAGGTCCAGGTTGTGATGTAAAAAATCATATTTTAGAGACGTCTTTTCACAGATAATACACATGCGTAATATGAAAGCCCTATCTCTTCTCATTAAAAAAAATTTGGACAATTTTAAGTAATGTTAATTTTTTTTAAGTAGGCCAAACTTCAAGGTCAAGGTCACGGAGTCAAAATCATAGAATATATACCGTAGAAAGGTCTTGTCACGGATAATTTACATGTTCAATATGAAAGCCCTATCTCTTCTCATTCAAAAAAATATGACAAAGGTTAAAGATTTTGTGACGGACGGACAGACGAATTAGATTTAATATCCCCTCGCTGCGGGGGACAATTATGTTTAAATAAGCATCACTCATCTGATTAATGTATGTCAAATTTTATGTGCGACTGCGCGGCGACTCACTAGAAAGCATTTCTGAGACAAAAAAATCTCGAAAAAAATGTTTCTTTTATGAAAATATTAGATGGTATTCGTGGGATTCGAACCCCAGCAATAAAAATCCGAAGTATCATACTACTTTGTGACTAATGTGCTTTTTAAAAAATCTTTTTGTGACTAACCACTATGCTACATATTGCTCATGACGATTTTGGGCATTTAAATCATGTTTGTCATATGACCCTTGACTTAATGGACTTTTTTTTTTCGGAGAGATGCGAATCTTTTGTCATAAAGGTGTACTTTTAAGGTATAGCGGGTCTTGCTCCATGTTTTTGTAAACTAAAAAATGTATACTTTTTTTGCAAACTTTTAGGATTATCTTTCAAGACAATGGAGCGAAGACCCACCCATATTGAAAAATCTTGTTAAAGTATGAGAAAATGATCGTTTTAGTGTGTGTATGCTTTTTTATAGGCAAATATTTTCATTCTTTGTAAGATTTTTGTAAATTTTAGGGATTTTGCATTAAGTATACGTTAATATTGGATGACATATCAAATAAAATTTGGATATATAAATTGAGATTCAATTCTTCACTGCATATCTGTCCCCGTATAGGCACTTCATCCGCCTTATTCCCCATCTTCTTTATAAGAAATTCTCTTGATTTGAACGGCAACTTATGCATGTAATTTTCAAGTTCAAAATTTTGTTCATAAACAGAGATATTGAGAATTTTATGTTAATTCAAATTAGCTGAATTCATTTTAAAATAAAAAGGAAATTATTTGTAACCTAAATGGCAATACAATGTGAGTCATTACAAGTGGTGGTGTGATGAGAAAGGGGGGGGGGGGGGGAGGAATAAGCTTATCATTGGATTAAAATTCAACATTCAACAAGATAATTTTTATTAAAATTTAGACATGTTCTTCAAATTCTTCTGCGAGTCTTTACTTCTTAAAACCAGTCTGACTAAAGCCAGCCCCTACTATATCACTTCCTCCCAGTCTGACTAAAGCCAGCCCCTACTATATCACTTCGTTAGTAGGGTCTGAAGAACTCTCATAAGGGTCAATCTCAGTCTGACTAAAGCCAGCCCCTACTATATCACTTCGTTAGTGATATAGTAGGGGCTGGCTTTAGTCAGACTGTTCCTCCATCACACAAGACCTTTTTATTTAGATTGTTCTACATAACACAGGACCTTAATTATATTTAGATTGTTCCTCCATCACACAGGACCTTTATATTTAGATTGTTCTACATAACACAGGACCTTTATATTTAGATTGTTCCTCCATTACACAGGACCTTTTTATTTAGATTGTTCCCCATCACACAGGACCTCTATATTTAGATTGTTCCCCCATCACACAGGACCTCTATATTTAGATTGTTCCCCATCACACAGGATCTTTATATTTAGATTGTTCTACATCACACAGAACCTTTATATTTAGATTGTTCCCCCATCACACAGGACCTTTATATTTAGATTGTTCTCCATCACACACAGGACCTTTATATTTAGATTGTTCCCCCATCACACAGGACCTTTATATTTAGATTGTTCCCCCATCACACAGGACCTTTATATTTAGATTGTTCCCCCATCACACAGGACCTTTATATTTAGATTGTTCCCCCATCACACAGGACCTTTATATTTAGATTGTTCTACATAACACAGGACCTTAATTATATTTAGATTGTTCCTCCATCACATAGGACCTCTATATTTCGATTGTTCCCCCATCACACAGGACCTCTATATTTAGATTGTTCCCCATCACACAGGACCTCTATATTTAGATTGTTCCCCCATCACATAGGACCTATTTATTTAGATTGTTTCCCCATCACACAGGACCTTTATATTTAGAATGTCTCCCATCACACAGGACCTGTTTATGACAATGTGTTGACTCAGGGCCCCTGGAATTACGAGGAAGCCTTAAACTCCGCCTAATAAATTCAAACATTACAGCTTAATGGACACATATCCACGTTTAATATACTAGTAGTACATTTTTGTCATCCAAGAATTTGAAAACTTTGTTAGTCAGTCAGCCCCATACATTTAAAATGACACAATTTATAACATTTCTTTATATCACTGCTACTGCTGAAAAGTGTACACCAAGAAGTGGTGTTTTAATAAAACAAAAGAACACTTGAAGCATGTAGTATGATAGCCCTCTTATTAAGTGGACAAGATATTTCTTTCCTTCACGGAAATATTCGCCCATCAAGCAAAGCATCGATCTTAAGTGTGCACTTTAAATTTTACTCTACTAAATTAGTCATGTATAGTAACAATCAGAACCTTACATCTAGGAAGTGAAAAGGTCGCAGATTTAAAGTTTGTAAGATGCAAGAGAATTAGGTGCAGATCCAGATTTTGATCATTGGAGGTGGGGGGGGGGGGGGGGGGGGTAAACGTTGGACATATGGGGACCTTTCCCTGATCATATTTTCTTTCAGCCCGGGCAGATTATTTCTACGTACTTGTTGTCAAGCTCTTGGACACTACAATGAAGCAAATAAAAAAAACCACACAATATATCGGTTTATTTTTTTTTTGAGAATAAATGAGACGGTAACATTTTGACAAGCTGCAGAACTGTAGCCCTCCCCAAAAATATATTGACAGACTGATCATCCATCCAAATTTTTTTCAGATCACTGAGCTACAGATCTGCAGCTACATTTTGACAAGACATTTCAAAGATCATAAATTACATTCAATCATACTATCTTTTTTCTTTAATTTCCCCATCCCTGCGTACAATTGTGATAAATCTAAGTAATGGTCCTCAGATTATGAAACACTCTATAAGTTGCATCACATTGCATCGTTAGATTAATGACAAAAGGTGAAATTCATCCCATTTTCTAGAGCACATATATGCTATTTCAAAATTTTTAATTAGTTTTGCTGAAAAAAGATTAATCAACACATTCTTAAACCTGCTGATAAAGCAGCTCAACATAAGAATTCAAGAACCCTAGAAAACAAATTCAAGCATTTAATATGAAAATTTACTTCACATGACTTTTTAAATTTTCACATGACTTTTTCAAGGACTTGTCAAAATTCAAGCACTTTCTATGGTCTGTACAAACCCTTACCATTTCACGAAGGGGCCTGTATTTCCTGAGAAGGGGCCTCAAAGGTCATTTCTTGTTACTTTACACAGACATATGATAACTGCAATTCTATAATTCTGTTTACATATAGTGTCACAATAGTATGTAGTAAAATATTGTGTAACTGATCCACATAAGTTTCTTTAATGGAGGAGCCCAGTTTAAATTTGCTTCATACTGATGGCTTTGAAAAGGAATTCCAAATAAGTTTCAATAATTGATGGAATATTAGAGAAATGTTTTTCATAAAAAT